GACCGTGGGGGCAAGTGCGGCTGGCAAGGTTTTTTGTGTACCCTAGAGGCTGGGACCTGGGTGGGCACCTGAAAGACCCTTCCTCAGGGTTCTGGCATCCACTTTCTCCTGTCTGTAAGGAAGTGCTTTTCTGGGGTCACGGAAGAGCCCCCCTGGAAAAGAAGGGTAGAACTTCACGCCACCATCGGCCAATCCTGTGACTATAAGCCAGTGGCCGGGCCTGATATGACTCGGAGAAGAGCATTCATTGCAGGGGAGATGGCCAGGGATCCTTACAAATGACAGGAACCTTTGTGAGTAGCTTCTGCTCCCCGGGAGACCCACAACATCCTGAGGGTCTGCAGCTACCGCTGGGGACGCTGGTTTTAATGGTGGCAACAGCGGCAGGATCGGGGAGATGGCGGAGGAGGGAGGCTCGTGATCGTGGTGGCTTATTTAGGGGAGCAGCATTCATGATGGGGACAGCGTGGCATTGGTAACATGTAGGAAGGACACGGTGGCGGGAGTGATGGAGGCAAGAGAGAGCCAAAGCCGGGTTGATGCTGGGCAGCATGGATCAATGGCACGTGGTCCAGACGGTGGGCATCCCAACTGGTGTGGGGGAGGGGAGGGCACTGCCGGCAGCAGCGAGGGTGGTGGTGGTCGAACCGCAGGGTGCTCTGGCCCTGGTCGTTTGGGGGAGGTACAGGCACGGGCCAGGAGGTTCAGCGATGACTGTCATGTTGGTGGATCAGCTGGAGGGAGCATACTGGTGGCGGTGACAGGCTTGACTGTGTGTTGCGGCCTGTGTGGCATGGGAGCAGAGGACGAGAGGTCACTTACTGGAAGGCCACACCTGGATCCTGTGGTACTGATGCGTCTTGCTGATGACATTCTCGGCCCGGATGCTGAAGCAGTAGTCCCCGGGATCCCTGAAGGTGTGGGTCAGGTTGTAAGCCGTGCTGGCCACGGACACCGGGTGGCATTCCCCTTCTTCCAGCGGGAGGCACTCGGGCTTGAGACGCCAGCACACAGTCAGGGGAGGGCTGCGGGGAAATGGGGGTGTCTTTTCAGAAATGGCTCCGCAAAGGGGCGCCTGGGTGGCTCAGTCGACTTTTGGTTCGCGTTCAGGTCATGATCTCGTGGTTCGTGGGTTCGAGCCCCACGTCAGGCTCTGCGCTGACAGTGCGGAGCCCGCTCGGGATTCTCTCTCTCCCTCTCTCTCTCTTTCTCTCCCCCACCCCCCAAAATAAATAAAATAAAAACTTAAAAATATGGCTCAGCAAGGAATGGGAGCGCAGACCAAGTCTGAGAAAGGCCAGGTAGCCGTGAACTTCAGTGTACTTTTCAGGACAGAACACCCAGCTGTCCTCTAGGTGGTCCTTCCTTTTTACACCTTCCAGACAAGGGAACATAAGGGAACCTGTACATCTTATGTACAGGTACAGAAGATGGTCCCAGAGCCCAAGAGGATGCCAGGCTTAGTGAAGCAAACGGGGACAGGCTGGTAAAACACCCCCGCGCCCCCTCAACCATCACATCTGCCAAGCCCGAGTAGCTCCCACCCCATTCTTCAGGTACCAAGCCCCTGCCCCCAAAGCTCCCGGAAAGCTCCAAAGACCAACTCCAGCCCCATGGCGCATCTTCCTTGTTCCTTGGTCACTTTGCTTGCTCCCCATCTAGACCTGCTTCCCGCCGTCATGTCCCTGGGTTAAGGGACAAGGGTCCTCAGAGGGCTGGGCCCTGGCCGCTGACCCCCACAGCTCCGTCCACCCTTGTGCAGAGAACATGTCCAGCTTCTCTGTCGCTTACTACAAACTCGGCCCGAGGCTGTTCTTGCTGATGGCCAGGCCAGTTCCTTCCCCGGGACGGTCTGTTTTCCGGGGCCATGGAAGCAGACCGAAGCCACATACAGAGGGCTTTTCACACGGCTGCTTCCACACCTGCCTTTGCCTCAACACCCACACCGCAGACAGCTCTAAAGGGCCCGTGCTCCCTCCCCGGGACCTCGGGTGTGGAGCCCTGCCCGCAGCTCCCCCATGGCTGCAGGGCAAGGTGGGATAAGCCTTCCCTGGCCCCTAAACCTGGGGCCCCTCAGGAGATGGAGCAGGCTCAGGGTCACCCACGGGAGAGTATGGGCAGGGCAATGCGTCACCCGCTGTCCACCATGGGGTTCACTCACCTCCCCAGGAAGTTCAAGGTCACTGTCATCTTTTGGAAGGTCTGAATTAGGGTGGGCCCCAAGACCTGGATGCCTCGAAGGGTTTCTGAAAGGCAGAGAGGGGCCCCGTTAGACCCGGAGACTGAGGACAGCTGTCTCAGCGCTCCCACAGCTCGGGGCCGTGTGACCACCGCCTTGTCCTCCCCCAGGCTCTCCCTTCCAAGGGCAGGTGGGAGGTCTGTCCCGGGCGTGCTTGGGTCCTGCCTCCCCAACAGCAGCAGGTTCCAGAGCCCGCTCAGAGTGAGGACACTGGAGGAAGCAGGCGGAGCTCTGGGAACCAGGACCAAGGGCTGGCTCAGTGTAAGTGCCCTTCCCCCATCGCCTAGGCACCGTGGGGAAAGCACCGGGCCCATTAGCCTGCCCGACAGCACACGGAGAAATCTGCCACAGGGGCCCAAGCGCCCCCTCTTGCCAGAGTCGGGGAGAGGAGGGTTGGGGTCTGGTGGCCATGTGACCTCCTCTGTGGCCTTCAGTGCCCTCTTAGAAGCGGGGATGATGACAGGCCACGCAGAGGGGATGCCAGGGGAACAAGAACAGGGGGTGCGCAGCCAAGCCCAATCCGGGGCCCGACCAGAGCCCCTCTGATCTGCACTGATCCAACCTTGGAAGGAGTGGTGCCCAGGGCTGCCCAAGGGGCCACGTGCTCAACCTGCACCAGCCCCCAGGGACCCACCCTGCAGCTTCAGGGAGGCAGAGAAGTCTCCTGTCTTCTGCACGATGCCCTTCTCGGCATCCTGCGTTGCCTGTTCCCACTCTGCCACCACCTTGAGCTTCACAGTGAAGGTCCCAATGATCGAATAGTTGTAGTAGACCACTGCCTCTTCAGTCACCATCTGTGTGCTGTAAGGTGGCAGGAAGGAGACAACAGAAGTGACTCACGTGACCTCTCAGAGTCGGGGGTGTCTGCGGGGTGACTGGCTCAGCCCCCAATGCCTTGTGAGAAAACCACTGGTCATCACAGCAGCAGCCCCCAGAGCCACCAGGACGCAAGGTCAGCTGTGCTTGGGTCAAGTGGCTGCCTGTCATCCTCGTGCTTGTAAGTGACAGGTAGGAGAACTCCCAGCAACAAGTGCCTGTCACCTGCCAGGAAGTGCTCTGCCCCCTTCAGCCAGGAATCTAAAAGAGGCCCTGCATTAGAGACAAGGACAATCCTGGGAGGGAAAAAATATGAACTTTGGAGTTAAGGCATATTTGGCTTTAAATCTCAATTCTAGATGTCTTATGTATAGAACTGTAAGCCTTACTTTTCTCATTGTAATAGAGAATCATACCTCCATATAAAGTATATAAATTACCTGAATTACTTCAAAAGGAAGTCTAATAACAATAAAGAAAATCTTTGTGTTGATTTCTCAATGCTCTTTATATATGAAGTTTAACAAACCTTTACCTATTTTCCAAATATTTTCTCCCAGTTTAACCTTGTCTTTTGGTTTGATTTACTTCCTTCATACTCAGATATTAAATCTAGTGATGCCAAATCTTGCATTTTTTTCCTTTATAGTGTCTGCCTGTTTTTATTCTTACAAAATGCTTTCCCCACTGCCAAGTCATCCAATTGCAGGGGATCATCTACATTTCAATCTAGTCCTGGCCATTATGTGTACTTTGTAATCTATCTGGAATTGCTCTTGTTAAGGATCAGATTGTTTTTCTTCTAAATAGTTAACCCACTGTCCTAGTACCATTTATTAAATAAGTAATATGTCTTTACTCACTGGCTAGAAATACCACTGTTATCATATACTAGATGTGCATTTAAACTTCGATTTGTGTCTGCCTTTTCCATTCTGTTCTACTGAACACACTTTTGTGATTTGTAGTTTTTAAAATACATTTATGTACTTCTAATTCTTCTCCCCAACCCCATTCATCATTATGCTGCTTTGATGATCTTTTTTTTCCTTCTGACAATATTCAGAAATTCTCTCTTAAAAGTCTTTTTGAGGTTCGAGGTATAATCTGTGGTTTTATCCACATAAATCCTACAATTTTAGGCTAAGTTCATTCTCTCAGCTTTTACAGTTTATAACTATTGTGAAAGATTTTTTCCATTGCCATCATATGGAAAGGCTATGATTTTTGTTTTGTAAGCACCCATATTACTAAAATCTCTTTTTAGTTCTAAGATTTTTTTAGTTGGGTCTCTTGTGTTTTCTAGGCCATCTGTGTGTGATGTTTTTGTCTCCTGCTTTACAATATTTATATCTCATTTCTTTTTCTTGCTTTATTTCATTGGCTAGTAAGAATGTTCAAATATAGTAACAATAGTAAATAAAGCATTTAATATTAAAAGAAATGCCCCTAATTAATATAGATGCTGTTCCCTGGTTTGAGACAGATGTTCTAGATGTTCTTTATGTTCTAAAACCACATATGTTTATAACCATATATGTTTTTATATACATACACACGTATATATACATTTGTGTATACGAATATATGTACGTGTGTGTATATGTGTGTATTTACGTGCCAAATTTAGATGCACTGTAGAAGCTTTGTCACATTCCAGAAATTATACTTATTGGAACATTTATTGGATTTGCATCAAGCTTACAGGATAACTGGAAGGAAATGGGCATCTTTACAATATTAAGATTCAGCATCCTGGTACTGGACATGATGTACATACGCATCTACTCAAATCTTTGATACCTCTTGGCACCCTATTGTTTTCTTCACACGGGATCTTGCCCATTTCCAGGTAAGTGTGTTCCTGTGTTTGTTTTATGAACTATTTTTGCTATAATTAGGAGGAGTCCCCACTTTGCTCTCTAATTTATTACTGTACATAAGAAAGCATGCTGGGCCTCTAAGTCTCGTGGGGGTGAGGAGTGGTGCGTGAGAAAGATTACTAAGCCTTCGATGAACTTGGAAAATTGGTCTGTTTCTCTGCCAGACTGAGAAACATCATAAGGAACGCCAAGAAGTGAAAGGCGGAAAAATATGGGATAGAGCAGGAAGGACCATCAGCCCGGGACTTGATGGGACCTAAGTGGAGTGAGGGGTCTCCACAGGGCACTCACCCTCACATGAGCTCAGGGTATCTGGGGGCTGGCTGCTGGAGCTGCTGGAGCTCAGTGCTTGACCCACTTCCTGACCTGCCTCCTCCAGCCTGGCTTGTTTGGAGAGGAGAAGTCAGGAGAAACGAAGCTATAACACCCGAGTTCTAACACATGCGTATAATCGCACACGCCATCACCCAGGTACGTCCTTCCGGAGTCAAATGGAGAAAAATTCTACTCTGACCTTTCTTAAAAGGCTGTCTGGGGCCACCAATGACCTCCTCTACTAGGTTTCAGGCACCTAGAAGGCAGGTCCTGTGACTAACTCACCACTGGTCCCCACGCACCCCGAGCTTGACACAGAGCAGGTGTTGAAGGAATGTTTGGAGAGAGAGAGAGAATGGGCAGGTGAAGGTCAGAGAGTACAGAGCACTCTGCATGGGACAATGGGGCCACCACCCATAGGCCAAAGCTTGGGGGCATCAAGAGGGAAGAGCATACCCATCTCCGAAGTCCCAGTTGTAGAGAAATGAGGCAGTCTTGAAGAAGTTGCTCGGGTCATGGAGGAGGAAGGAAACTTTAAGGACTGTCTTGGTGAGGTAAGAGCTGGGCCAGGGCAGGGAGGTGTTCTGGGAGACAACGAGGTTCCCCACGAGGAGCTCTGGGAGAGAGACCGAAGGTGGGTGAGTCCACCAAGGGAAGGGGAAGGCGGAGCCAAGGAGTGACTTCACATGCTGACTGGCAGGACAGCCTCTCCCTGCCCTGCCCTTCTGGCTGTCAGGGCTGGGTGGTGGCGGGAGAGGACGCTGCGGGTCCCTGAACACAGAAGCGCATGCCCCCCACATCATTACCCCTGCTGCACGGACACTGGTGCAGACTCATGGCACACATCACATGCACAGCGTTGCTCCTGCACCCCTTTCACCAGGATCCTGAACTTTCTTAGCACAAAAGATGCCCAGGACCAGAAGGAAACGGATAGGCTTTGAAAGAAGTTTTTGAGAGATATTTCAAATTATTAGAGTCTAGAAAAAAAATGAGCATGTCTACTGATCGGCTCTGTACCCAGTGTGCTGGGCTGGGTAAGGACCACCGTTCTGTGTCTCCGTCTGTAAAAAAAAAATTTAGGTACTCATTTTTTTTCAACCCAAAAGCAGAAAGTAAGGCGTGCCTGATAAAGCTCATTTGGAAAATGCAGAAAAGTAGAATGAAAACAAAAGAGACTGCCTATCATTAGGGCACCTGGGTGGCTCAGTTGGTTAAGTCTCTGACTTTGGCTTAGGTCATGATCTCACATTTTGTGAGTTCAGTTGAGCCCCACGTTGGGCCATGATCTCACAGTTCGTGAGACAACCAAGCCTCACGTTGGGATCTCTGCTGTCAGTGCAGAGCCTGCTTCGGATCCTGTCTCTGTCTCTCTCTGTCCCTCCCCCGCTGGTGCAAGCTCTCTCTCTCTCTCTCTCTCTCTCAAAAATATAAACATTTAAGTAAAAAATAAAAAAAGAAACTGCCTATCATTCAAACACAACTATTGTTGACGTTTTGAAGAACTGCAAAGCATTTGTGCCTACGTTAATAGCTGGGGTATTACGTACACATGCATATATTAAACAGTTGATCAAATTGACTATAGAAGTTTGCACTTTGCTTTTTAAAATCTAATACCCACGAGTATTCCCCAGAATATTATCAGCTGTTTGGAAAGATCATTGTTATTCGTTATACAAATTATATCCATATACTTAGCTAGTTCCCTTACGGCTGTACGCTTAGTTTGGCTAATGTTTGCTTCCATTATTAGATATTACACACACCCTTGCCAGGAACATTTTCGGGCACAAAGCATTACCCAAATGGAAATGCATTTCCTGAAGACAAATATACTCCAAGAGAGCAGGGCCTTTTTGGAAGGAGAGAGCAGTGGTGGGGTAGGAAGGTGGGAGGAATGAGAACGGACAGACCAAAAGCTGAAATAGTGCATAACCATTGATACATACGAATCAGCTGCTCTCCAGAGGGCTGTGTTAATGTATATACCCCTAGGAGCAACATGTGCTTTCAGTGTCCCTTGCAGCACAACCCTGCCAGCAGTGGGTATTGCCATTTTCTGATCCTCTGTTAACAAACACAGAAGGGACCATGAGTCTACTTTGAGTTTATATGATTACTGACCAGGCTGGATGTTTTCCTCTGCCCCAAATTTGAAGGCAAAGTAGCCTTCAAAGGTCCTCACCTGTGATGGGGAGGACAAGGAGGCTCCTCGCCACGGGCTGGCACATCCAGCAGTCGGCAGCGGTGACCCAGACGGAGACAGGGAAGTCCCCGGGCACGTTCCCCACGGCGCGGATGGTGGAGCTGAAAGCCTCATCAGTCTTCCCCGTGAGCAGCAGCGGGGTATGGATCCAGTGGAAGCGGTAGACGCGGGTGTTGGAGGGCAGGACCAGGCTGCCGTTTTCGTTGGCCACCAGGCTGGCTGTGATGGTCACCTCCGCCCCTGTGGTGGCAGGGCCATCGGTGGTGAGGCGGAGTTCATACAGCCCTGGAAGCCCAGAGACAAAGACTACTTCAGGAGAGGTGTGACAAGGAACCCCACTGTCCCTGTCTGGGCTGGCTTTTATTATCCTATTCTACAAGTGGAGAAACTGAGGCCCAGGCAGCTCAAGTGACTTGCCCAAGGGTCATATGGCTAGTTCATTGTCAAGCTGGGATTCAAACCCAGGCCCAACTGACTCCATATATTTTCTTTTTATGCCAGCCAAGCAGGGCCTTCCAGAACACAGGCCTGACCCGGCCAGACTTATTTCTCAGCTGTGAAAATAACTGCCAATGTATGTCACAGGAGGGATTAGCTGCCAAAAAAACGCCCTCTATTACCTGGTCTTTTGGACCAGACTACATGTCAAACAAAACTCCAATCTGAAACACAAAGCTGAGTCTGGACCCTGTAAGAGTCCTAACGCCTAGTGACAGAACAAGCCTTGGGACAAAGGTCCACTTTGATTCGAGCCAAGCCCTCTTCCATCGTGGTCGGTTTCTGAATCTGTAAAGGAAGAGGTCCTAGATCCGCACTGGCCACGCGTGGCTGTCTGGGTTTTGACTAAAGTGAAACAAAAGTTAAAGCCCACGTTCTCAGTCACGGTAGCCTCATTTCAAGCGCTCAACAGCCACGTGTGGCTAAGGGTCGCCATATTGGCACGGATACAGAATATCTTCATTATCACAGATGGTCTGACCGGAATGCATTGTTCCAAGCAACCTCTGGGATTTCTGCTGGGGCCAACGCAGCAACTGTGTGACACGAGCAGTTGACTCCTTGGGGGACTTGAAATGAAATCCTGAGGATGCAGCTCTTACGGGGAACCTGGGAATTAGTCTTGCAGGATCCCAGCAGAGAACAGGGCCTTGAGCATATGGGATTAGAGGTTGGATAAGAGGCCTTTTAAGTAACACTCCCTTCCCAACTACCACATTGAAGGGAAGACTGCTTGTAAACTGAAAATAGAGAAAATTAAAAATTAAAAAATTTTATTAAAAATTAATGGGGCGCCTGGGTGGCGCAGTCGGTTAAGCGTC